CCTGTTGAGTAACTAATTAGATATATTTTCTTTATATTTCTTGTTTGGAACTGACAGTATATAAAACCTCTTCCCTCCAAAGGTCTCTCCATTGTGATTGGAGATGTTTTGCGGCAGGTTCCTATCGCTGTGTTATTTGGTATATTTCTCTATATGGGAGTGATGTCTCTAAATGGGATCCAGCTAACAGAACGCATGATGCTGCTATTTATGCCACCGAAGTACCATCCTTATATATATATATATATAAATTATAAAATATCTCATATCTAACTTTTTTAATATCTAAATTGTTTCTTTTTGACAGCAATAGCATTCAATTGAAACATTTAAGGACACTTAAAACACTTAAAATGTAAGAATTTTGTTGCTAACCATGGCATCTTCTCAAATCCAAAGGTCAAGTTTAGTGAATGATTAAAGTCCAGATTTATTGTGAAATAAATGTAGCCTGTTTATGACGTATTATTCATTATAATAAATATAAACATTCAAAATAAATATTAATAATATAAATAATACATATTTAAGATTTTTTATTAAATAATAAATAATATAGTAATATTTAAAATAACACAAATAAATCATAAATTGTAAAAGCCTGTTTATGACGTATTATTCATTATAATAAATATAAACATTCTAAATAAATTTTAATAATATAAATAATACATATTTAAGATTATTTATTAAATAATAAATAATATAGTAATATTTAAAATAACACAAATAAATCATAAATTGTAAAAACGAATACAAATGTGGATATTATTTAAAATAAATGTAATTAAAAACATCATATTAATTATTTAAATATAAATAATTTTACTGAAATGTTCCTGCCCGAACGGCACTTATCTCAGTTCTTTTTAATATCTAAATTATTTCTCTTTGACAGCAATGACAATTAAATAGAGACGATACAGAGTTTGTCAACAAGACATATTACTCAATATTTCACATTATTATATTTCTCTGAAAAGTCTCAGTAATATCTTATGCAACTTTGCATTTAAAGGGGTCATATGATGTTGCTAAAAATAACATTATTTTGTGTATTTGGTGTAATGAAATGTGTTTATGCGGTTTAAGGTTCAAAAAACTTTTCCAAACTAAGGTTCAAAAAAATATTTTTCACATACTGTACATTATTGTTTCTCCTCTATGCCCCGCCTTTCTGAAACGCGTCGATTTTTACAAAGCTCAACGGTCTGAAAAGCGAGGTGTGCTCTGATTGGCCAGCTATCCAGTGCATTGTGATTGGCCGAATACCTCAAGCGTGTGATGGAAATGTTACGCCCCTTACCATATTGTGATGCCTTGTCCTGGCCGGAGCGACGAGATAAAAACAATAAAACCCGTTATAAACGAGGCATTTGTTGCATCCAGTGGGGACATAATTACGGGTTAAAATGACTTGTACTGTCTTTTTAAGCGTTGCATCGCACAGCGTAAACATAAAACCATGTCTGCATTTGTGATTGGAGAAATGACAAACAACAAGCTCTACTCTACACTGCTCAAAACTCGCATTTGAATCGTCAGTGGCAAATTCTTTATATATAAAAAAACGTACTTACAGTCTTTGAGTCAGAACAGCCGGCATTGTAGTCTACTCTACCAGGATCAGGAAACAGTCCTCCATAAAATGTGCTGCATACATCTGAATATTTGGGTTGAAGTGTTCTGGAACAGTGTTGTAAATGCCGTACAACTTAACCACTGATTTCTAGTCGTGTCCTCTTTTGGAAGACCCAACAAAGTAGTTTTGCTTTCACAACGAAATACAGCGTCACACGGCGGCCTTGAGTGAGCGGCGTCCGGCGGGTTCACATCAACCACATGTGACGACCCCGGGCTGGACTCCGCTTCGTCCACGGTGAAAGCCGATCCGGCAATCCACAGCGCAAAGTTGATGTATTTCCTCAGCAACCAGCACGGATCAGCTCCAGGCATGACGAAGCAGAAAACCAGCAAAGGACCAGCATAAACCAGCAAAGGACCAGCTTAAACCAGCAAAGGACCAGCATAAACCAGCAAAGGACCAGTTTAAACCAGCATCTCAGCGTCAAAACATACCTAACCAGCATATGCCGGTTTTTTCAACAGGGCAGTGAGGATCTCAAAGGATTTGACACAACACCTGCGTGACTGCAGATGAAAAATTTAATATTTCTTGCCCAGACAAGGTTAGTAGATTCTCACATATTTCTGTTGCTAACATGTATACATTTTTAAGTTTTGGGGATATACTTTCAAAACAGTGTGTAGGCCTATTTCCACTGCTATTGTTAAGCACAAGTTATAGATTTTTAGTTGAGAACTAGTGAAAAATAAGTTCTTACAGTGATTCTCCTTTTTTTTTCAAAGAAATTAATACTTTTATTTAGCAAGTAAACATACAGTATATGTTACAAAGGATTTCTATTTCAATTAGGCCTAAATGTTGTTCATTTAAACCTTTTTATTTATCAAAATAATCCTGAAACAATTTTGAGTCACAGTTTCAGAATATAAAAAAATATTAAGAAGCACAACTGTTATAAACATTAATAATAGCAAGAAATGTTTCTTGAGCAGCAAATCATAAAATCAGCTTATTAGAATGATTTCTGAAGGTCCAGTGACACTGAAGATCGGAGTAATGGCTGCTGAAAATTCAGCTCACACAAATAAATTACATTTTAAAATATATTAAAATAGAAAAGTTATTTTGAATTGTAATAATATTTCACAATATTACTGTTTTACTGTATCGATTAAATTCAGCTTTGGTAAGAATATTAGTTAGAGAGTTTGAGACCTGAATGACCAGACATACGACAGCGATATGCAAAAACATATGTATTTATTTCTGTCATACTCTGTAAATAATTCAAAAGAAAAACAGTGATACAGTAAGCATAGTCTTTTCATTTGTACTCTTTTTTTGACATTCTAAAATAAAAATACTAGAAAAGGTAAAGACTGCAACACTCTGAGTGCAAAAGAGAGAGACACACACACACACACACACGCCACTGTGCTTATGTTACACTCCCATAGTGCAACAAATGCGTCCACTGATTAAACTAGAGAATATTTACACACTGCAAAAACCCAAAACTGCAAAAAAGATTGTGCGTGAATGAGAGTGTTTGTGTCAGCCACTATTTGAACTTTTTTGATTTGAGAATTATCTTACATATCATCATTATTTTAAATTATGATGTATACATACTGATCCATTTGTTTATTATAATTTTTTTTTATTGTATGGGTAAAATATATGTGCACTGGAAAATTACTGCAAACGACTCTGGAGGAACAATAATTGGCTCTTTTGTTGTAGGTGGTAAAAGAACAAACCCCCGAAGCATTCTCAAAGTATGCCACAAAAACCCGTATTCTAGAACATTTTATGTTTCACGACATTTCACATTAGAATCAGAATGCATCAAATAACATTTGCATTTCAGGTTCCATGAATGTGACTCTTGGAAATCATTGTGTTGAGTGATATACGTCTGGTACTGAGAGATCTAACTGTTCTAAACTCACAACACAAAGATCCGAATGGTTTCAGATTCCCCCAGAAACCTGAAAATTCCCATTTTGGCATTTCATCTTTATATATACATTTAGAAACTATAAAGACACATGGTTAGATTAACTATAACATGATGGAATTCTGGTTTGTATGTCTGCATCCCAGTTTGTATACTATGCATTGTATATAGTTGGCGAGATGAGAAAATGTATGTATCCCAAATTATATTTCATTGAAAATAGAAAGCGTAATTGGATGATATAATTTTCCAGTGGATTTTCAAAATACACATCCATGCATGCTTTTTTTTCTGATATGACCACAATCCCTTGCATGCAAGACGTTTTTCTGAGTACTATGACTCTATTTTTACACTTTCAGCTTTTTAAGTTTAAGGTTTTAAATTATGAATTTAGCTAAACGTTAAAAGTTCACCAAAAAAATGAACATTTGCTGACAATTTAGTTATCCTCAGGCCATCCAAGATGTAGATGAGTTTGTTTCTTTATCAGAACAGATTTGGAGAAATATAGCATTACGTCACTTGCTCACCAATGGTTCCTCTGTTGTGAATGGGTGCCGTCAGAATGAGAGTCCAAACAGCTGATAAAAGCATCACAAAAATCTACAAGTAATCCAAACAAATCCAGTCCATCAGTTAATTTCTTGTGAAATGAAAAGCTGGGCGTTTGTAAGAAACAAATCCATAGTCATTTTAACTTGAAACTGTCTTCTTCTAGCCAAAATATTCATCCGTAATCCATAATAATGTTTTTTTTTCCCCAGTGAAAAAGTCCATCGGTTCTGATGAAGAAACAAACGCATCTACACCTTGGATGGCCTGAGGGTGAGTACCTTTTCATTTCTGGGTCAACTGTTCCTATAATGTTAATGTAATACACAGTGTGTTAATGTAATGCATTCAAAAGTACTTATTTGTAGCACACAGTTTAAGTATGCAAACTGGAATGCAGTGCATATGAAGAACACTGTACTGTTACTGCCATCTACTGGTAAATTGTGGTACTGCATCTCCGGGGGTCTGCAGAACTGAGGCACCCCTCTGTTTTTGGTCTTTAACCTTTCCCCCCTAACTACTACATTGTTGTGTATTTTCATTGTAGTGGCCAGTTTTTCTACCTTCATTTCATTGTAAACCTATATGACATCATTCTACTGACCTTAAAGCCCCTCCCTAAAGTCTTTTTTAAGTCACAGTGAACCCAGGTCTCCAAGGCAATGCTTTTTACTTGGATGCCAGCTTTGTACATGTGTATGTGAGCATGTGCTGATACAATTTTTGAAAAGTGCTTGTATTTGATGCGCATGTGTACATGGTTTACATTGAAGAGTGTCTCTGTGTTGGTTTAATGTGTATTAAGTAGGTTAGGATGTGTGATTGTGCGATGGGGACCAAAAAAGGATATAAAATAAATAGAAATACCATTTCCATGGGTAAAAGTGTACTGTTTTCACTCTTAGATCTCATTTCGAGAGTTCCTCTTTATAAAACCGCCAATCATATTTTATATTAAGACAGTTAACGTTATCTCCAATATAAAAATATCAAATATAAACAGCGATAGGAAACCAGGGAGTTTTGATAATCCATCACCGTGCATTTCGCTTAGTCCCGCTTCCTGTTAGCTGTCAATCAATATTTAGACACGCCCCCTCAGTCTCCATGGCTGTAGTTCACTGGTCACTCTTTATATAGCAGTGTCCCAGAAGACAGTGGTTTGGGTGGAGTACGGAGGGGGCCCGTATTTCTTGCCCCCGTTGGTCTTCTTCCAGCTGGGCAGGATGGGCATGCTGTCCTGCTTGCACAGGGCTTTGTCTGAAGGTCTCTGTCTGGCTTTTATCTCCTTGCACAGGTGACGTTTCTTCTCGATCATCTCCATCATGGTGCTGTCCCCACATGCCCAGGGCATTGGGGGCATCTAATGGGTGGCAAGGGTTAGACAATGTTGGTGCATGCAGAGCTGCTTTTAATTTTGTAGCCCTTATATTTTTTTAAGGGTGAAGGCGTTCACAGTGTTCTTTAATAATAAAGGATGTGTTTAATAATTCATGTCCTCTAATAAAGTCAGAGCAGTCAGAATGTATTGCCATTCAGTTTAACGCTCGCTCGCTCTCTCTCTCTCTCTCTCTCTCTCTCTCTCTCACACACACACACACACACACACACAATATCTTAATCATCCAGAATGTATTGCCATTCAGTTTAACGCTCGCTCGCTCTCTCTCTCTCTCTCTCTCTCACACACACACACACACACACACACAATATCTTAATCATGTACACACATATTAAATTGCCCATGCACCTGCACAAACACAAATTAAAACAATTTTATAGGCAACACAAAATCACTATAGCTCTGTTTCAAAACCTAGTGAGCTGCCTACATAGGCAGCTCCCTTCTATGACAGCAATCTAAGTGTCATGTAACCAATAAGTGAGTGATTTGGGAACACTCTATATAGGCAGCAAGTCTGTCATTCTAATAGCACTTCTGTGAAGCACTTATATTTAGGGTTATTATAGCTAACTAAAACTATAAAAATAATTGTATTACTTAAAATAAATGTTGTCTGATAAAAAATAAATATGAAAAAAATTAACTGATTTTATTTCAGCTAATTGCCAACTTTCTCATATTCGTTTAATTTAACAGAGTAAGTAAAAATAAAAATAAAATGGACATTTAAAAAAAAATTATAATAAAATGACAAAATGACACATTACTAAAACTTTAACTGAAAATTAAGATGAAAACAAAATATAAAATGAATTCAAAATATTAATAAAAAAATAATAATGACAGTTTATTTCAGCAGAGTTTAATGTTAATATGTTGCTAAGCTAACAAAGTGATAGTCTAGTAAGTTTAAAAAAGTGTGATACATACACTTTCAGTAAAATCTATTTTTAATTACTATTTGAGGCAGTGTTGTTATTGTTAAACTATTAAAATCACTTTGAGTAATTGAAAAAACTAAAAGCTGAAATAAAAATAAATATTACATGAAAAACTTCAATTTAAATTTAAATTAGAAATGTTGCTTTGGCAATTTACTGAAATAAGTTGAAGTTGAAGTAATACAATTATTAAAACTGAAATAAAAATAAATGGATGCTTTTTATAAAAATATAAATAAAATGAAAAATGCTCACAACAAAATGACTAATTACTACAATTACTAAAACTTCAAAATATAAAAATAAAAGCTAAATTAATAAATACTATATTTGTGTATAAATAATACTAAAATAACACAGATTTGTAATACATGTAATACAACCTTAAATTTTGGCTAAAACACGGTTTTAGAAGGCAGCATAGTAAAGTTGCCTAAATAAAATTAGGTTTTGCCAACTAGGTTTTGTAACAGAGCACATACTGCAGACATGCACACACACACACATACACACATATACACATACAGTACACACACGTTTGTGCTTTTGAGAAAGGAAGCAGCAGACAGACACAGAAAGTACAGTGGACGCGGAGAAGGAGAAGAAATGATTTTGACAAGGTTTTATTTTTTGTTTCCTTGGGGTTAGTTTTTATGCCTCGATTTTTAGGTTTATTTGGGTTAGTTCAATTACAGTCGCTAACAATCAAACACACAACTGGGGAGTGAGAGTAGATCAGACAACATACTAAATGTGTTTTATGTCTTATTATGTTATAATATTCTGAGTAGGCTAAAACACGGTTTTAGAAGGCAGCATAGTAAAGTTGCCTAAATAAAATTAGGTTTTGCCAACTAGGTTTTGTAACAGAGCACATACTGCAGACATGCACACACACACACACACACATACACACATATACACATACAGTACACACACGTTTGTGCTTTTGAGAAAGGAAGCAGCAGACAGACACAGAAAGTACAGTGGACGCGGAGAAGGAGAAGAAATGATTTTGACAAGGTTTTATTTTTTGTTTCCTTGGGGTTAGTTTTTATGCCTCGATTTTTAGGTTTATTTGGGTTAGTTCAATTACAGTCGCTAACAATCAAACACACAACTGGGGAGTGAGAGTAGATCAGACAACATACTAAATGTGTTTTATGTCTTATTATGTTATAATATTCTGAGTGAGTAATTGTTTTTACGTCATGTCTGTTTTGTATGGCATATTACTGTGTTCCTATAAAAGAGTGGGTGTTTTCTCATCAGCTTTCGTCAGTTGTGATATAAAGAGTGTGTTTTGGTGAGTTTGTGTAGTGAGTTGTGTAACTGACTCCCCAGTCTCTGTGAAAGTGACTTTGACGTGGAAAACATAATCATTATTACAGGATTTTTGTACATAATACAATAGCTCTAAAAACCTGCTCAATTAAGGCCACACAGACAAACAGGAGAGAGCATTTGACATGTGACACTGATATAAATGCCATGTCTGGATATATATACTGTATATACACACATCAAACAGCCGTTTGTTTAGATTTACCCGTTGAATAGAAAATGTGGAACTTTTTATTTAAAGTGGCACTTTACTTACAGCTCTTTCTTATAAGGTAAACATCATAAAACTTCCATAAACAAGTGTTCAAAAATTTGAGGTCAGTATGATTTTTTTAAAATGAATTAATTGATACTTTTATTCCGCAAAGATAAGCTTGCTATTTCAAATAAATGCTGTTCTTTTGAATATGTTAATCATTTCACAGCCTTAATATAAGGATATATGCACTTGCTGCGCTTATTTATGGCCATTTTGTCCATTCTATGAATGATTTTCAAGCAGTTCCAAAGCTCTGCCAATCATACTGTCAATATTTCAATCAATTTCAATCATATGGGGTATGCTTTGGATTGAGGCTCCTGCTTTTAAGAATCCGTTTTTCCAGTTTCATGGCATTAACAGCGGTGTTTGATGTCTGTACATCTGAGGAACCCAACCACAACGTCTGAAACATTGTGATAGAGACCGAACAGATTGAGGATGCTACGGGTCGAGAGTAAAGCTGTCCGCCGCCGCTCTGAAGAGGTTCTCATTCAGATTCAGATCAGTTGAACCTTCTCTCAAGTGCTTAAACTGTCTGATGTATAAAACCCTGATTGTGGCTCTCTTGGCATAAACTCACAGAGGACAAATTAAATGTGAGAGCCTCTTCAGAGCATGATGGGAAGGCAGCCCTGATCTGGACCAAACACAAACAACACACACATACGCATCTACATAGACAGACGATGAACGCCATGAGCCAAACGAAACGCACGGCAGTGGAAGCAGCAGACAGAATAGGATATACACGCAGCCGTGGGGTCAAAGGTCAAAGACATGAAGGTATTGCCGACAGACACCGAGACAGGAACCGAATTCCACACGCATGCCATCTCTCGCTCATTCTGAGGAATAAGGGGGTTGTACCTGGAACGGGGTCCCGCACGGATGGGCGGAGGTGTCGGAGGCGTGTCTTTGGGGCGTTCCCACAGGGGACGGGACTCCTGATGTGGATGCAGAGCGACCGAGTTTACACCCGGCTTTTGTTTCTAAAATGAAAGACATGTCTTATGTTAAATAAGTATCTAAAATGAACATCCTTATTTGTTTTTATGGATAGGACACACCTCCGAGCATGGTGGTTGGACTGATAGAGGAGCGGCCAAAACGACTGGGCGTGGCTGATTGTCCTGTGGGCGTTTCCCAATCCTGTGATTTTGGAGAAGAGCTACAAAGGGCTCTGTCCCTGCTGTCACTTCTGCCTTTACTTTCACCTAGAAAAGAAAAAAAGAGGTAGAGATTTCAGTATGCAGTATAAGTCTCCAGCTCTCGGTTCTTATGAGAATGATTTTGCAGTTTCACTATGAGTGCTTTGATTTGTAATAGTGCTGCAATACATATATATTATCCCTAGGTGTCACAAACGAGACAAAACAACTTAGAATACCACACTATCTTATTGCTATTTCTGCAGTATACAGTATGTATATTGTGCAAAGTGTGTTTAGAATTTCTGCATTCATGAAATAACTGGATAACATTTTTCAAAAGTATGCAGTATACAACAGTTCAATTTCCAAATTGATAAACCAGAAGTAATATCAACAGTATTTTTTTTTAAATGTTATGTTAGATTTATTTGATCAGACTGCTAAAACATTTTATACTCTATCATATTTATTTTAAAAAACTTATATATTGAATATATAAATAAATAAAGTTAAAATTTTCTGTTAATAAAATAAAAGTACACCATTTGCTATATTAAACATGAAATAAATGTCAACAATGTACTGTAGCATGCTACTATTTAGACTAGTTCACATACTATACTAACAAATATATACAGTGGGTACGGAAAGTATTCAGACCCCCTTAAATTTTTCACTCTTTGTTATATTGAATTTTAGCACTTAATTCACTTCAGGAATAGGTATCTTTTCTACATACACACAGCACCTCTTTTTAGATTTGTGAACTGTAAACTCGTTCTATTGAAAAAAAGAAACTAGAAAACCAACTGATGTTGATTCTTATGAGCCAGTTCTTTTTAGAGAGTCAAAGACATACAGTATTGGTGCAACCAGTGTAGTCTGAAACCTGAATGAATAATTTTTATGAACCAATTCGTTAGCGAATCAGTATGGCACTACCAGTGTTAATGCACAACCAAATTAATGACTCTTATGAATCCGTTATTTTTAGTGAATCAAACACATACAGTACTGAGCAACCAGTGTACACTCTTAAAAATAAAGGTGCTTCATGATGCCATAGAAGAACCTTTTTGTCTAAATGGTTCCATAAAGAACCTTTAGCATCTGAAGAACCTTTCTGTTTCACAAAAGGTTCTTTGTGGCAAAAGAAGGTTCTTCAGATTATAAAAAGCTAAGAAAGAGATGGTTCTTTAAAAAACCTTTGCCTGAATGGTTCTTTGTGGAACGAAAAATGGTTCTTCTATGGCATCGCTTGAAGAACCGTTTGAAGCACCTTTATTTTTAAGGGTGTAGTTCGATGACTTTTGTCAGCCATTCTTTTTTAGTGAGTCATAAAGAATATCATACAGAATCCTCAGTTTAGTCAGATTTTCGAATTATTGACTGTTATGGGTTGGTTCTTTTTAGTGAATTAAACACATACAAGTACAATGCAACCAATGCAGTCCGACTTCTGAACAAATGATTCTTATGAGCCGGTTCTTTTTTGTGAATCATAAACATACAGTATGGCACAACCAGTGTAGTCTGATTCCTGAATTAATGACTCTAATGAGCATATTCTTTTTAGTGTATCATAAACATACAGTATGGCACAACGAGTGTAGTCTGGTTCCCGAATTAATGACTCGTACAAGTCGGTTCTTTTTAGTGAACCATAAACATACATTAATGGCACAACCAGTGTGGTCCGATTCCTGAATGATTACTCTTATGAATCAGTTCTTTTTCATGAATCATAAACATACAGTACAATTAGTGTCGTCTGACTGCTGAATGAATTACACTTATGACCCGGTACTTTTTAGTGAATTAAACACAGCTTACAACTCCTTGTGAGATTTATTTCAGTTTTTCTTATGACAATGCAAATTTAAAGATATTATATATTATGTATTTTGCAAGTATTTTTTTGTTTTGTCACAACAAATTCATGGGGGAAAAAAAAAAAAATATATATATATATATATAGGCTATATTTGGTATAAAAAATGACCCATATTCTCTTTAAAAAAAATAAAATAAAAATTGTGTGTCCCTTATAAGTCTTCTGCCGATGTTGGCAATGTTAGCTTATTTTGCATTCTGGTCTCACATTAGCTACTCGAAAACCTTATTTACCGTACTTTATCTCTCTGGTAACACACACACACACACACACTGTCTGGCCACGTCTGTTGAAATCCCATTAGTCTGTGGTGTCCTGCTCCATTAGTCTACATTTAATTAGTGTCCACTGTCATTAGCGTTGGCCGCTAATGCTAAGACTGCGACAAATTTATCATATTTACTTATTAACATGCACACGGTCAATGCCTGGATATAGTCTATGTGTGTGTGTGTGAATGTGAGTCCATTAGCAGAGGGAATTTTAGGTGTATGTTGGCAGAATTGTGTTCTTGTCAGTGTTCACAGGGTCAGGGTCTTGTAGGGTTGTTCTACAAGGCTTTTCAGCAAACAGCAGCCAACATAGAAACATGTTCTCCTCATCCAGTTAGAGTGAAATGCCATGCCAAATATCTTTTGGCACTCAGAGGTAATGGACACAGACAACACCACTGAAACAAGACTAAAAGACACAGCAGGAGCCAAACAAGGGACAGGTTGTAGTTTATCTCCAGGGTCAGTTCTCGTTTAGGGATCTAAAGATCAGCCGCTGATTGCACCAAACCTCTTTTAGCGATCATTTGTTTATAATTACAACTAAGAGCTTTCTTAGCTTAAGGGATTTGTTGCAATCAGGCACAGAGGTGGGGAGAAACAGATGAGTATGGAGGCCAGTTTCAGTCACAGAGTAAAAAATGAAAAAACAAGCTAATTGTGTGATAAAGTTTAAAATAAGACATAAAGTCTCAATGTGGGATATAAAGTTGCATTAATGAAGTTTAAAGCCCCATTGCCAGATATAAAGTCACATTGTGCGATATATATATAGTGATGTCATATAAAAGTTATGGAAATCTATGCTGCCATAAAGGAGGATTAGATGCAATAGAAAACAGAGAGGCACTTTGAAACGGCCAGAATTAAATTGTCATAATGGAAACTATGACACTATATGTAAGTATTTTGTTGCACTGGAGTCCGTTTGTCTCTGTTTAATGGCATATTCTTGGAAGATCTTGATCAGAATTTCTTCTCAATCATATTCTCTGTTTTCAACCTGACAGCTAACCTGATCTGCCATTATGTTCATGTTACTCAAATCAGCTCTCGATGTCACAGCAGGGCACAATGTAAGCACTTCTGTGCCTCTAAATTATGCTAATATATGCCATCCTCAGAGCCATAATGATGAGGAAATATATTAAATGCGTAGGATCATTATTAGTATATGCTAATGTAACCTTAGAGTATGTGAACTTACTCAGACACTTAATTTTAGAAACTATTAAGCTTTTCGATGCTTCAGGAAAAGCATTATTACATTTAAATACAGCTGCATACATTAATGCCGAATTCACACTGCACGATTTTAGCCCGATTTTTCACTCGCCGACAGGTTTTGCAAAATCGCCAACAAATGCCCGAAATCGGAGGCAAATCGGTGCTCGTTCACGTGAGTGACAATCACGCAGTGTGAATTATCAAAGATGCAATCTGAGGGAATCGCCGACACATCGCCGACGCCAGCAAAATATTTGGCATGCTAAATATCTGGCGCTGTCGGCGATTCACAATCACGCTGTGTGCAATGATTTCTGACTGAAAACTACATCGGCGATGACATACAGCCAATGAGAGACCAAGATACAGGGCAGAGGGAAGTTCGGGGAGGAGTTATAGACCAGAATATCAGTATTTTAATAGATATATGAACAATTATATCATACAGAAACAAGCACAAACATTTTCTTGACCAGCCACAACATCAGCATAACAGTTACTGCAAAATGATTTACCTCCAACTCTCTTTGCAGAACACCCAATCCCTGTTCCCTGCATCTCCCTCCTGCATAATCTGTTTTTCTTTTTCTCCTTGTAGCTGGAAATCAGCTCACAGACAATTTGCGGGCTATATATATATTTTTTAATAATTCCAGTCTTGCTCAAGTCTGACGCACTTGGGTTGTCGCGTTATTTCCTTATCATTTCTGGTGTGTGTTTTGTTGTGAAAGTCATGCAGTGTGTAACCTCCCATCGCCGATCCATCGTGCAATGTGAACACAGTAGCGACTGACTGCTACCTCAGATAGTCGTGCAGTGTGAAAACCACGGTGACCCGACGACTTTGAAAATCGTGCAGTGTGAACTCGGCAAAAGGCGTAGCAGGAGACTGCTGTCTGTTAAGTGTCACACCTCATGGACCTGTTTTGTTGTGTTTTCTTCTCCCATGTGCTCTGTTTGACCTAGTTTCTGTCTCTGTTTGATTATGTCATTTGGTTCAGGTGTGTCTGGTTAATTATCCTCATTTGCTCCACTATATTAGTTGTGTTCCGTTCTCTGTTTGTTGTCCGGTCTACTACGTCCCTACGTGTGATCCTGCCTGTACATCCTGTGTTTGCCCTATTGTGGATTATTAAAGACTATTTGCATAATAAGTACGCGGTGCCTTTCCCTGTTTTTTTTTTTTCTTTTTGTTTTTGTTTTAAAGAAGCATGCCGCGAGATTCACTGCAAAATCGAAGATTTCACGATGGACCGCTTTGCCGTCACTACCGCCTTCGACGACGAGACGCTGATGTCCCTGTTTAAGATCGGGGCTAACTGCCACTACCCCGTCGACTTCCCAGTCCAAGTCCCACAGGACTGCAATGGAGGAAGGCGATCATCCGGTGTCTGGAGAGCGTCCGGCCCCGATCGCGAATTCGAGTCCTGAAATGACCATGGAGGTCGTACCCCTATCAGAGCTCAGCCCACCATCTGTGCGGTGGGATCGCCGCAGGTCTGCCAGTCTCCATCGGCGTCGTGTCTCCACCTCCAGCCTCTGAGTCCTGGACTCCACCTCGGCCCTTCAACCCAGCGGCTCCACCATGGCTCCTAGCTCCCTCCTATCCGCCGTGGCCCGTCAGTCCACCAGCTCCGCCGGGCTCCCTCGTCCCTCTGGTTCCGCCTTGGTCTGTCATTGACCATCCGCTGCCTCAGGACTCCACTCCTCCAGCTACACCGCATCCCTCCGTCCCACCGGCTCTGTCAGGCTCCTCCTTTCCACCGACTCCATCTTGGTCCTCTATCGCTCCAGCTCCACTGCGGCCTTCCAGATCCCAGCCTCCGCCTTGGTCGCCACCACCTGCTCTGCCGCCATTGGTCGGACCCCTGGAGCCATCAGCCCTTCCTCCACCATGGCTCCTCCCACCGTCGGCTCTACCGTGGGTCGCCATCATGGCTGTGATCTGGGTCCCACCTGGCTCCCCCTGCTCCCTCCTGTCTTCTCCCTGGCTCCTCCCTCCGTCTGGTCCGCCCTGGCTCCTCCTGTCTTCTCCCTGGATCCTCCCTCCGTCATCACCACCCTGGACTCTGTTGGTCGTCCTCCTCCCGGTCATCCGGCCACCTCCTGAACCTCCTCCTGCCTGCCTTTCTGCCAGTCCTTTGCCATCCCCTGTATCCATCCCACAACCACACCTTTATTCTCCTCCTAAGTCCCCCTTCGTCCCTCCCTTTATCTCTGTAGCGCGAGGTCGTGCCTTCGGGGAGGGGGGCGAACTGTCATACCTCATGGACCTGTTTTGTTGTGTTTTCTTCCCCCATGTGCTCTGTTTGACCTAGTCTCCGTTTGATAATGACATTTGGTTCAGGTGTGTCTGGTTAATTATCCTCATTTGCTCCACTATATTAGTTGTGTTCCGTTCTCTGTTTGTTGTCCGGTCTACTATGTCCCTACGTGCAATACTGCCTGTCCGTCCTGTGTTTGCCTTATTGTGAATTATTAGACTATTTGCATTGTTCATCGTCTTCTTTGTGCGTTTCATTCACTGTAGCTGTGACATTAAGGGTGCTTTCACACCTGTAGATCGATTGCTTTGTTCCGAAACAGGGATTAAAATTATTACAATGTTGCTTTTTATTCTTGGTGCGGTTCGCTTTCACACGGTAAAGTTACTAAACGGACCAAATTTGTTAATACAAGTCACGCACGAGTAAACTATTCTCTCATTGGTCAAAGTTCCACGGTTTATTTTCCGGGATTCCACTTAGCTGTCACGCATGTCATCTGTCAAGATGGAACGATAACAGCTTCGCTGGCTTATTGTTGTTTTTTTTGTAGCTGTCGTTATAATAATTTATAATTTTGAGCAGGAGTCCAGGATTGATTGGGAAAACATTTTTAAAATGCACCTACTACAAAGAAGAGCAATAAGACAGCATTATAAAATAAAAAAGTGTGCTTTGATTTTTGAATGGCAAAGACGTGTTCAACCACAGACATTCACAGGTTCATTTTGAGGTATTAGCAAAACAACAAACTAATGCTTTTCACAGAACTTACGTAATTACCCATCATAAATTGTGATATAGCCTGGATCGTGGGTCCGTTGGATCGGATTGCTTTCTCACTACAACCGAACCGCTCCAGAGTTCGTTTTCAATCGAGCCGAGACCACCTCGTTCGGGCGATCTTGGACCGATTGTTTTGGCGCGGATCCGAGCGCGATTGCCGTGTTCACATATGCCCAAATGAACCAAGCTAAGGGTGGAAACGGGCCAGGTTCCGAAACAACGGGCCAGGTGTGAAAGCACCCTAAGTCATATTTAGAGATATTTATGGGCACTGTAGGGCATCATAAAAAACAAACTCATATCACATTTAAATTAGACTGATCTTTAAGACAGATTAATGCACAAACACTATTCCTTGCCACTTGACACTGGCACATGTTCAGACTCTGTATGTCTTTCTGGCGCCGAATGGTGTCATGCTGAGTTGTAGTAGAATTCCCTAACAGGATTTGGACCGGGATAACTGCCCTGAACAGGAAGAGCTCAGTCATTGATTGTTTTATCCCTAAATGGGTGGATCTGAAAATACCCATTTACAGCCCAAGTGTGAAGTTAAGTAAGAGTGACCTTCAATATGGGATCTGTAGAGAAGAAGGTTTATTCAATCAATGACGCCCCATACAACATCTGTAATATCAAAATAATCAGATTATTTGAATAGTGAATAGGCACTACCATAGACATTTGAGCTGATATGATCAGTAATTGTTTTTATATTATGGCTGATAGGTCATCTGATAGCGGATATCGATCTTCAATCTTTATAATCTTAAAAAAACTTTTTACATTAAAGATGTAAAAATTAAATCAGCATTGAAAATAATAAGGATGATTCAAATCAGCATATTAGAATGATTTCTGAAAGATTATGTGACTGAAAATTCAGCTTTGCCATCACAGGAATAAATTATTCTTTAATTTTTTTAAATATGTTACAATATATTAAAAACATTTTGTAATAATACAGCATTTGCAAGGTTTTTAACTAACTTACAAGACTAAATCTGAATATATCAGAAATGGATGAGTGAATTCTGATCATGATCTCACATGTGGCCACAGCCGTGTTTCTTAGCTGACTGATGTTGAGCTGTAAATAAGAATGAGATACTGGTGTGTTTTGGATCACTGTGACAGATTCTTCACTATCTCTAGCTTTTCTCTCTGTGTGTCAGGCAAACACACACACACACACACACATACTAATGCCGGCAGCCTGTTAATCTCACACACCTCCACCCTCTGTCAGGCACGAAGCCCAAGTCACAGATCCGTGGAAGACATACTGACAGGAGGAGTCTGTGTGTGTTTGTGTGTCTCTGCTGGACTGGGTAGCGTAAAATTGACTGTGATGGCCAGACTGACCTGCTTCAGTGTGTGTGTGTGTGTGTAATTGTGTTGTTTATATGCCTTATTATATTAAGGTGAGTTGAGGTTTGGCTTCTTATAAAGGCTTCTGGCTTCTTAAAAAATAACAATAGTATGTGTGTGTGTGTGTTTGTGTGTATTTGGGGTTCAACATTATAGCCTTGACTCGTTAATCTGAAGTGTTTCAGAATGAATCCATTACAATTTTAATAAAGATTTGAAAGGCTCATGAGGAAGGCACTCAACAACCCTCGCAATGCAACAATCTGGCGACCTTCACATTTGATGTGAAGAGGCTCTGTTTGGGTGGGAGAATCTAGGCCCTGCACACTGTAAGCATACTGAATGGTCTGTGCGTAGGTTGGTCGCTCAATTTTTAATCTGTGAACGGGCTCAAACACACACTTGCACACAGACACACCTGGGGTGATGGAAGTGGACCGTGGAAATAGGACATGAAAGCCATCTTTCCTCCACACATGAGAAAAAATAACAGTCTGGAAAAAAGTCCTTAGCTGCAGCTCTCAAGATGATTACACGCGCTCTTTAAACCCAATCAGGCTTTGCTGTATGAGACAACATCCCTCACTTTGAAGTTGTAACTGAGACGGATACCAATCGCCCCCAGATATCTGACAGTTAACCCTTCAATTACAGTATTTGCTGGGTTTAACATTTGTGGATCTAATTAATTAAAAGTCTTAGTACTTTTTCTAGATTGATTATTTTCTACTTGCACTGATATTAATAGGCTGACAATTATTTTCTTGTATTTTCACATATAACCGTTAAATGGCTGAAATCTATTTTGGACATATTCCAGACAGTATTTGGGGCTTAAAAAAACACAATTTAACAAATAATTTAAATTAAATCAAAGTTACATTGAGGCACAAAGCTTAAAATGAACTATTATATTATTATATTATTCTTCTGTTAAAAATGTGTGTGTTATTTGAGCTGTAATGGTTTTATCGTAATTTTTACAATTATTTTAGGGTTTATAGTGTTGTGTTGTCCAGTTTTACTACTTCTTTGCCATGACATAATTTTAAACAGAAAGGTTAGTAAGTGTTTTTTCTCTCTCACAAAAATCATGTTAACATGCATATTGTTTACATCATGTGGCTATACTTTTGAAACTGAGTATTGTAACATTAACAGCTTGGCCTTATTCACTTCCACTGCATGTGTCTCACTGTAGCCCAGATTCATCCTTTTTATTTATTTATTTAATTATGTATTTATGTATTTATTTATTTATTCATTAATTTTTTAAAATGAGAAAATGACGTTCAAGTTGAAATTAATTTTTCTTGTAATCTTCATTATGGGAAAAGCAAACAATATGTAAAAAATTGGCGAAATGCACAATTAAATATGCTATTATACCGTGTACCATTTATTGACCAATGCATATAACTTAAAATTTTTTTTGATAATTTAATTGCAATTTAAAGATTTATAAAACCTGTCAAGTTCAACAGTTTGGGGACAGAAACTTTTCCTTTTTTTTAAGGAAAAGATTTCTATTTAATCTAAACTTAAATCTTATCTAATAAAATATTTTGAATCTTCTATTCATCAAAAAGTCCTGGAAAAAATGTATCATGTTTTCCACAAAAATATTAAGCAGTACAAATGATTTCAACATTAATAATAGTAAGAATTTTTTCTTGAGCAGCAAATCAGCATATTAGATATATTGATTTCTAAAAGATCATGTGACTCTGAAGTCTAATGATGCTAAAAATTCAGCTGTCAGCGCAGGAATAAATTGCATTTTAGAAAACTAGAAAACAGTACTACTATTTAGTAGTACTATTTAGTATACTACTAAAAATACTACTATTTACTGTATTTTTGATTAAATAAATGTAGCTTTGATGAGAATATAAGAGTTTTTGACCACAAACTGTATTTGTTTACATGTTTAGTTCAATTATAAAATTTTTACTCACCATCCGCTGACTCCTTACTCTTGCGGCTTCCAGAACCTTTCTTCAACATGTTACGTCCGGAAGAGAACAAGTTGCTGAGCTCATCCAAAGGACTGGTTGGCGTACGACTGCCTCGACCTCCCGACCCTGAGCTTGAGCCTGACGCAGTGGAGACATTTTGCATGGACCCTCCGTGCACACTAGAGGAATTCGAGAGCCGCCCGCTCTCACGTGATCCATGCGGAACTCCAGATGCACTGCGAGGAATCGTCCCGGTCATGAGAACGTCATACGGCGGGGGGCGCTTCAGGGTGAGTGGCGTTAATGCGCGACCCATACTGACAGGGGACGGGCAGGCGGAGTGGCTCCTTGGGTAGCCATGCGCAGCAGATGACCCGCCGCTTTTATACAGTGCAGATGGCAGGGGTGGAGCAGAGGACCGTCCTGATGCTGTGATTGTTTGTTGCTCCTTAGTCTCTGCTGACTTCTTCTTATGATGATGATGATGGTGGTGGTGGTGGTGGTGGTGGTGTTTACCAGACACCTGCTGCGGCTCTAGCTGTGGTCCAGGGTCAGAGCTAGTTGGGGATGCACCAGGTTTCCCATACCCGACTTTCTCCAACATGGGCAGTTTGGTGACATCCAATGGAGTAAGAGGGGATTCGTCAGAGTTGGGGGAACATTGGGCTGGTGCAGGTGGGAATACTAGTAGAGGAGGCCGATGGGAAAGCAGATTCGGGAACGGGGCGGGAATGTCACACACCGAACCACGTGGAGTGGTGGGTCGTGTAAGTTCGACTTCCGGCACCAAAGCAGTGGGACATTGCTCCCATCGCGACTGCGCGTGGTCTAAAGATGAAGGTAAATCATCGGCAGGATATTTCATCTCCTCGTACACACTTTCACCTTGGTCATCCTCTTCATCACCATTAGCGCCGGCAATTCGACTGAAGTCTCGTAAGATGTTCCCCACCATCTCTATATAAACAGGTTCCGTCTCATCGTCAGTGTCAGGGGCAGGGCTTTGATTCTGAGACGCAGACTTCTTTTTGTGTTGCCGCGGCAGAGAGGCGGACTTAGCCTTGCTGCAATGGTTTTGGATGTAAGACTCGTCAAAGGATGTGCTGAGTTGGGTGTTGGGGTTGCGTTTGGGTTTGGGTGGAGGCATGCGACGGTACTCCTCACTGCAGGGGCGGGATTTAGATGCTGTGGACAAGAGAATGGAAATGTTTAGGATTTATTTTAGCACTGTATGGAATTCAACAGTACAACTCATTTAAAGTAGATAGTAGGGGTGGGCGATATGACCAAAATCTTATATCACGATAAGAGTAATTTTTTTTACAGTAACGATATATATCACAATATTGTTTTGTTTTTTTTGCTTTAAATAAGGCCTTTATAACATCAAAATTTGATACCATAGAAATGTCATAATTCTTGTCACCAGTGTCAATATCTAAAAACTAATACTAGCCTAAATTTAAAAAAAGCTCACTGAAGACAAGTAAAAGCCAGCGATTAAATAAGAATAAAAAACTAATTAACTAAGCATGGCACGGTTGTCCCCATTCCCCCACTGGCCTGCACTTACATTGCACTTTACGTTACGGTCCGGAGCACGCTTTATGCTGCCTTCACGTGCTATCGAAAATATCGTAAATACGAGTTTTCTAATTAGAAATTGGACATGAACGACCTCTGAAGTCGTATTATTTACTACTCTGAGATTATTTTGATACTCCAGTTTCCGAGTTAGGTGGACCATAAACTTTAAACATGTTAGGGGACAACGATTGCTGCTGTTAATGCTATTCTTTATTATTCTTTTTTCTCAAACAACAACTACATCATCTTGTCATCATTAAAGTGGTGCCTATTTATTTATAGGCATTTGAAGCATATTGTATACATAAACAGCGAAATAAGCATGTATTTGACCGAAATTCCAGAATCGTATCAAGCTGACTATCTAGCGAGGTGAATGTTTATCGACCAATGGAATATTACATTTTATTCTTTCCGACAACAAATCACTTGAATGCAACGAACTCGCAATCACAACTTCATAAGTGGGAAATAGGAAATTTAAAATAACACGAGAAGGAATTTCCGCACTCCGGCGGACACCTCTTCCAAGCGGGCCAGGGCCGGCTAAATTAACAGCGCCCGGGTGCGGCACAGAGCGATCACTCTAGGCAAACGAACCGGGCTTTAGGGGGTCAAACATGCTCAGGCACAGTTCAAAACGCCTAGTGTGAGTACACTCTTAGACTGCTGTCACTTTAAGAACTGCCTGGATCCAATATACTGTTACACGTGTTTTCTTTCTCAGCTGTTTACTTTCACTTAAGACCTAAATTACTATGATTACAAGGATACTTGCAAATACCGGCATTTTGACACATATAAGTGTGTGTTTTAAACCATTCAAGGCCAATAAAGCGGCAAAAACCTCAGTTCAATACTCCCATGGTCTATGAGCTCCATCTTCACATGTGTGCGCATCTCTCTGACAGCATGCACATATAGCGAAATGAGTTCTCTTTTGCAGCTGATTGCGGTTTAAAATCACTTGTTTGTTTTTTTTTAAACTGCAATGCTTAAAGGGGTCATATGATGCGATTTCAAGTTTTCCTTTCTCTTTGGAGTGTTTTCTCTTGGTGCATAAAGAATATCTGTAAAGTTGCAAAGACTAAAGTCTCAAATCCAAAGAGATATTCTTTATAAAAGTTAAGAGTCAGCCACGCCTACCTAAAATGGCTCGTTCTAACACGCGCCCACTAGGGATGGGCGTATCGATCCTAAGTATCGATATATCGATACTGACGCGAGTATCGAAAGTATCGATACTCAAACTAAAAATATCGATACTAAGGTGTGTTTTATTTACCAGTGATTTTGTTTATTTAAAATAATAATAATAATAATAATGCGTACAAATGCATTGAATTGAACAAATAACCTTTGTTCGCAAGTAATTGTGTAGGATATAACTATTTTCCTGCTCATCTGAACACACGCAAATGTTGCAAGACAGAACTAATCAATCACAGAGAG